CAGATACTAGGGACAAGTTCATAGAAGGAAGACAGCTGACCTAACTAGGTGATTTTATTTTTGTCACACTGATTTGAAGACGAGAGAGAAAGGCCTTTTGGATGAGTGCATATGCAAGGGAGAGACTACCATGATGAACGGTGGGCCCTGCACTGGGTCAGTGGGGAAGTGTGAACATGAGCAGCGTATGTGAAAATGTGTAGAGGTCAAGAAGCTTTTCTGCTGGCCAAATGTGTGATCTAAACAATTTGAAGACTTGCATTGTAAAGGGCCTTTAAGGCTTCCCTGCGTCCTGCTGACCCTGTTTGCCCTTGAGATGGTGGAACATGAACCACCCTTACAATTCCTTTAATGATACTCTGCCTAGTCAAGTTTGCACATCTTGGTTTAGTCTTGCTAATGTACAATTTGGGGGGGGAAGTATCTACATCTTTGAGTTTTTTTATTGTTACCTAAACTTTCACCTAGATTCTCTAATAATTCTTACAAATTCCCAGTTAAGTCTTTTCCTGCACCTCTACAGGGATATATCTGAAAAATTTTGGAGAATTTTTTGCACTTTCAAATACAGCTGATTTGAGTAGGAGACTCAACCGTGACTACCTGATTTATAGGTAGCCTAAAAAAGACTGAATGAATTCGTTTCAATAACCCACCCACTTTACTGAAATAGAATGACTAAGCGCTGTCATTATTTTAGAAACTTTTTTGGCCATGTGATACTGTTTCATTATATAGTTCAACACAGGTTAGAGAAAAATAAAAATTCATTTTTGCTTGTTAAATGAGTGAATTAGTAACTGCATATATTTTGAGAACTGCACTTCCACATGTATGTGATGGTTCAAAATCAGAATGGTATTATTACTTACGAATTAATTCTAAATAGAATTGATGTGATTGCCAGTGGGATTTTATTGTCTTTAAAAAAAAAAAAGTCAAATGTTACATGGTAGATTCATCTTTCCTGCTTGATTTATTGTCTCTAGGCCTTTTCCTTTAGTCATGAAACTGTCCCTCAGAATGAATGATGCTTTTGCCGGTCATAGGCATTTTATTTATGCAATACTCTAGTTTGAGATGCAGTAACAAATGCAATTAAACTATTGTGCTGAACTTAAAAGTCTTATCACCTTAGAAACCCTGAACAAAAACTTCAGATTTTTTCACTTATGTTCATAGACTGGTATGAGTCATGCTTCCAGCCAAGCAGAAGTGATCATCTTGGAAGAGGTGTGAGGGGGAGTGTCTCAAACTCTGTAATTCTGGAATAAGTTTATTCTCAAAACCCAACATTTGTCAGAAAGATTTTTTTTAAAAGACAGGAATAGGATAAGAATGTTTTAAACCAGTTATATTTCCTTAGAGCTAATCATTGAATCATCCATTAAAAATAACACTAGCTGATTTGATAGCTCACTCATGGCTACCGTTGAGTTGGGACCTTTAATACACTCAGTGAGGTATAGCATTACTATTGATAAAACATACCAATAAGAGCTTTGTATCGTTCTGACCTTCTAAAGGTGCCCTTTAGGGAAAATGTTGATAAACATGGAAGAGTGACTTCATCATTGCCATTCTGAATGGCTGCTGGGATTTATAGGATGATACACAGTAATGTCCATGAGCAACCAGGAAGCCAAGAGGCCTAGAACAAAGAGAAGTGTTTGATGGTCACCATTCTCTCTAGCCCTGCAATATTGCTGAGCTTTCTAAAAGTGAAAAACTGGTTCTCAGGGAATTTCTCCATTGAACCCCAGATATTAGAAAATGCCAGATATGAACCATAACTGTTAAGTGCACATTTATAAATAACAATGCAGGCTTATGTCTCTTTTATTTTTCACAGGACTCAAACAGACACTGGGATTCTTTTGATAAGCACAAAAGAAAGAGAGAATTGTGAGGACAAATAGCATTACATTTACATTAGTGTACATGTTCTTAGTATTTTACAAATTTCACCCTCCTTGAATATTGTTCGTAGTAACTGGGATGATTATATTTATCCACAAATCTGTTCCAGATGTTACCTATCACTGCTAGACCATCCATGGGACCAGGATCCCACTCAAATAGTGGTATAATAGGCTATGTTGGGAATATCAACTCAGGCTGTGATTGCCTTAAAAACATGGGTTTCCAGGAAAATGGCAGTTTCCACCAATGCTGGGTAGCCCTCTACTGATGTGCCCAGAAGGCTTATAAAGAAAGAGTAGCAGCCCCTAGATCTTCCTGAGGTACATTATCTAGGAAATATTCCTCTACATAGTTGCCTGGGTCTCAAAACAAGTGCAATTGACCAAGAGATCTTAGCACCACTACTCTTTAAATTCTCTCTCTCACATGTGTGCACACACCCTTCCTCACACAGTTTCTCATGGCCAATGTCCCCAAGTCACATCCACAGACCAAAGTGCTGGATTGGAATGGTTTTGAACATCAACTACTGTACATTGTGCCCAGAACTAGCATCAGTCCTCATATCCCTGATACTTGGAACTTTGCATTGACTATGACTTGTTCTTTCAGAATTCTTCCTTTGTGATGGACTCCCTACCAGGGACTTGACTGGCCTCAGGTAGGGTCAGTTCTGTCCATCGTATATATTTTATGTCCTTGACCTTGGAACAGGTCAGAGTTTGAGCCCCCCACCCCGCGCCTTTTTTGTCCCAACACCAAGGGTCCCTTGGTTTCTGTCTAAATTGTAGGTTAACTAGCTCTTAGGTTCCAATCTACTTTGCAGCGAAATGGCTAAACACACCAAGAAGGTCAGAATCGTCAGTAAATACAGCACCCATTATAGTGCCTTCCTCAGGAAATGGTGAAGAAAATTAAGATCAGCCACCACGCCATGTACACTTGCTCCTTCTTTAGCAAAACCAAGATGAAGAGGCAAAATCAAGATGAAGATGCAGATCCCACAGTGGGGATCTGCTCTGTGGCTGCTGCATGAGAACAGTCCCAGGTAGTGCCTGGACCTACAATACCATTTTTGATGTCACAGTAAAGTCTGCCATCAGAAGACTGAAGGAATTGAAAGACCAGTAGAAGCTCCACAATCTGAAACATTGCTAGCTTATAATAAATGGGTTAATTTATGTAACAAAATACATAGATTAAATAAATAAATAAATAAATAAATAATAGGTTAATTAAAAGTATATAAATTGAGATCCCTGAACTCCTCAATGCTTTTGTTTCCTTCAGTAGACTACTTTACATGCCTAAATAAAGTCTTTTATTTATTTGGTTTTAAAATACAGTTATGTTTGTAATTTTAACAATAGATTGTCAAAAATCTTAATTTCTTCCTTTAGATTTAGCTAGATGTCACAAATATATAGTAGTTTTCTGACCTGTAAAATAGGTAGACTAAAATAGATAGCAATTTCCCCACTTTTTTACAGCAGCAAAAATTTATTTTGGGGTGATAAAATCTTAAGTGATACCTCAATAGGTAAAAATGACATTTAAGTAATATGGAATTAATTTTCATTAACAAAAATTTGACTTGACATTATAAATGACATTTATAAACATATCTAATGAAGCATGTAATTTATTTTTTGAATTTTGTTTTAGTTGTAAATAATATTTTTAAGTTTGTATTTAACAGACACATGAAGAGCAGGTAGAGGAGATTTGTTAGCATGATTACTTTTTGATTTTTAATTGCTTGACTTGTAATCTTCAATATGTATTATTAACAGAAAAGACAGAAAATTACATGTTGAATTATTCTTCAAAATGAGTGCAACAAGAGATGCAAGTTATTGTTTCTGTGGTCTTTAACATATTTGACATCATTTGAGGGTAATGTTCTCAGAAGAGTTCTAGATATTTAAAAGAATGGAACTGGACTCAGTAACCTTTGTTAGCTCTACACTTCCAACCACAATTTGATAACACTGTGCTACCATTGTACCAGATATTCTAGTTTGTTCTAAATCCATGTATCTATGCATATCCAAATAAATACACATAAAGTTTAAAAACAGAAAGAGGCTCCTGGAAACACAGTCTTCCTAAGACAATTTTTTTTCTTAAAGATTTTTGACAATTAGGCTTACATGACATCAGCAAAAGTTGTTTGCTCAGGCTATTTATCCTTCATTCAAGTACCGATGCATAGTATTTCTATACCAGCTAGTGTTATCATCAGTGACAGTTCACTTCTGGCAATTATAAAAACACAGTAAATGGAGTGCATTTTCCAAGATTCTCTACGTCATTTTTTAGGAAAATTTTTACATTGTATATGTACATAACCTAACATATTAGAATGGAAAGTTCACTAATTCTTTAGAAAAAGTGATTATATACATTTTAGTCTGGAAAAATAAAAATGTGTGATTACTAACAGGATTTTCTTACATCTTTAAATTATTGCACTAATCATTTTGAGTTATGACACTGTAATTTTAAAAACAAAATTTTTTCTTAATTCATGTTTATGTTAAAGAATTTGGTTAAAATTATTTTCTTAAAGTCTACGTTATCTTAAACCTGAATGTGTGAACATTTGAGTTAATTTTGGAATTAAATTATTTAAGTAAACCAAAAAAATGCAATAAATGTTCATTATGATTGTGATCATTTAACTATAACATTTTGGTTAATTTTCCTTGATTTTTGTGTGTCTTGAAGATGTGAATCTGCTAGAGATTAAAAAGTTACTAAAATCTAGTGTAATGCTGATTAATAATATGGAAGAACTTTAATTTTTTGTTCATAGAAATATTTGATTAAATGACAGGAAAATAAATGAATAAAAGTGATTATGAATGATTAGAAACTTACAACGTTCTTCGAGAATGGATATTCTTTCTGTACTAAGTTATATATAGTGCAATTATCCAGTTCTATATTCAATGCCTTATTTATATTCCAAGATTTTGATTGATTTTTCTTTTTAATATTTATATTTTGTAGTCAGATTTACTCTTTGAAAATATAACCTTATGTAACCTATTCAACACATTTATTTTTTTAAGGAAAAAATAAGGAGATATCAACAGACTGAAAAAATGTTTCCAGGGGCATAGAATCTTCAGGAAGATACTGGAGTTCATGAGATCTCAAGGTTAGCAGTTCACACATTATTATTTACAGTATTATGTTAATGTTTTTACAGATCTGAATTATAACTTTGTAACTATTCCAAGTGTTTATTGCTAATGTGTAATTATATAAGAAAAATGTTCTTATTTAAAATACATATTTAACAAAATTTCCTCAAGACTAAAAACAATTTCAGTATACTATAAATGTGTTATTTAGTTCAGTTGGGGATGATTAAAAGAAAATGTTGTTTTAATAGAAAACCAAATTATAATTTGCTTTACTTTTTTAAAAGGTAACACTTTTTACATAACAAGAAGTAATATTAGACATCCCTATAAAATTGTATTATTATCTGTTAAGGAATGTGCACCTATTTAGCAGACTTCTTTATTTTGTTTCTTTGGCTACAACATACACACAGATACATATATAATTTAGAAAAAATAGATAATTTTTTCAATCATTCTAAAATTCTTTGAATCAGGTTTCCTAACTTTCCCTCAGTTCAAAGAAATTATGCCTGTGTTAAAAATGTGCTTGCAATAAGATGACAATATAAATGAACAAAAGAATATGTAAAGATCTTTTTTAAGTTGTTTAGAGTCATAAACCTGAAAAAGAAAAACAAAATAAGTCTACTCTTGTTAAACAGCTTATTACAATAATACATTAATAGAAAATATCCACTTGAAGTTTGAATTAAAATTTAGGTTAAAATGGTCCACTCTAATGGGATAAGACGGAAAAGTGGATGATTTCTGACTTGTTTATATTGTCAGAGCCAATATCAAAATATTCATAATTTTAAATAAAAAAATACGATAACCTTTTATTTTGATCGCATTGGTCAGGCTTCTTGTCAGTGTCTGAATCTTTTTATCACTGATCCAAGGATGTATTCCTTCAAGTTTGTCTGGAGCTTACCATTCCAAGTCAATGGGCTGACTGCTTTGGTTGCTTCAAAATGAGTAAGAGACAGTTCCTGTTCTCAAGAAATGTCTAACCATATGTTACTAAGATATTAATTTTATTATTAACACAGACACACCTGACTAAAAGGACAAGCTAGATCTAAAAGGGCATGCAATGAATTCTAAAGCCCAATGAGAATGATTTGTGGATTATTCATTTTTTATATTATGGCTTTCATTAGCCTAGAATACTCAGAGTTTATATCAATAGAGTGTTGCTCCATTACAACCCACAACTGAACTTTACAACTAAACTTTTATTAAAGTAGCTCTTCAAGTACAACACAAGTAAGTAATATGAGATTCTAAGAAAAGTTTCTTTTTTGCCACAACTGCAAATTTAATATTGTAATATTAATATTACATATTAATGTATTGTAATATTGTAAAATACTTATGCAAACACCTACGGAAAGAACAAAAGTGAGCATCGCTTAGGTTTTTTTTTATTCTAGTACATTCAACTTCTTTATTAAGCTCACCAGAGAGTTAAATTATTTCTCCAATGACTTAGAAAGACATGTAAATTTGAAAGGGATTGAATGCTGTAAACACCCAAGGAATCCATATTCACACAGTGGCTGGATGAGTGAAAAGTTTTGCAGTGGAGTAGAAATCCAGACTCTACTTGAAATGCAGTTACCCAGTACTGTGATTCTTGTGAAAAGCTTTTAAAAAAGTGCTATCTTAAGACAAGTACTTAACAATATTAAAGTTCTTTTTTGAAAAGTCAGTGAAGACGCCCTTTGCTTAAACTGTGCCATCAGACAAGTGGTTATATTAGTTTATATAACCACAATCATTCAACAAGTATATATCAAGTGCTTACCATGTACATGGGAGCTACAGCATTGAATAAAACATACCAACATACTTGCCTTAGAGAAAACTACATTCTAAGAGGCAGAAACACATAGGCATAAAAACCCCAAAGTTAATAATGCATTATGTTAGATGGTGATAGTGGTATGAAGAAAAAGAAAATAGAAAAGGGAATATGGAATGTAAGGAGGGGTGGAGCTTTTTAAGAAGCGTAATGATTTAGTACTGCATAATTTACACTAAAGAAATAGATACTACTTTAGCCCACAGAACCCCAACTAAAAGCAAGTGCGATGAAATACAATACCTATTAAGTTTTCTACATCATTTGTTAAGGTGAATGTTGTTAATATACTTAAAATAATAATTAATGTGTGTCTTTCTCAATTTCACCATAAAGACACTTTTTAAATGGTAATATATGTACCACATGTACATGAAATATTGTCAAAATGTTTGCAGTAAAGAAACATACAATTGAATGTGGATTAGTCCATTCATTTACTCAAGGGGTAAAGACTATAGCTATTCACCTATGTATGGGGAGGAGTAATCAACTCATTTTTTTTAAATCGAATATTATATGCCTAAAGTAGTTAAGGATCACTGACAACACATATGGATGGTACATGGTGCTAGAAATCTCTCTATTTTTTTTTGTTTTATCATCAGTCATCATTTTAAGATAACACTGAGTATTGAGATTGAAGACAGGAGAGAATTATTTAAATACTACCTTATTTGCATGGTACATTATTTTTTTAAAGGATAAATGCCTTTCCTTGCATACTTGATTTACTAGAAGGTATATGGAGATTTAGAAGTTAGAATAAATCAGTCTCTTTGTGATCATCAACAAGTGAGTTAGCAGGTTTCTTTTGATGATAATCTGGTTGGAATTTTTCTATGAAATATTAGCTGCTGAGCATAGGAATCTAGAGGTGTTTATGACCCAGACAAACTTGCTAATATTTTGCAACCCATCTAAACTATAGCTAAACCCACCACATAAATTTTCTTGGTCTCAGGATTACTTTACACTTTTATTTTTTGTTGTTGTTTAAATATATTTTATTGATTTAGCTATTACAGTTGTTCCAAGTTTCCCCCTTTGTCCCCTTCTACCAAGAACCCCCTTCCGTCTGGCATATCCATGGGTTGTGCATGTAAGTTCTTTGGCTTCTCCATTTCCTATACTTTTCTTAACATCCCCCTGTCTATTCTGTACATACCTATTTATACTTCTTAATCCCTACACTTTCCCCCCAATTCTCTCCCACCCCCTCCCTACTGGTAACCATCCAGATTATCTCCAACTCTATGATTCTGTTCCTGTTCTGGTTGTTTTCTTAGTTTGTTTTTTAGATTCAATGGTTGATAGTTATGAATATATTGCCATTTTAATGCTCATAGTCTTGATCTTCTTTTTCTTAAATAAGTCCCTTTAACATTTCATATAATAATGGCTTGGTGATGATGAACTCCTTTAGCTTTACCTTGTCTGAGAAGCACTTTACTTGCCCTTCCGCTCTGAATGATGGCTTTTCTGGATAGAGTAATCTAGGTTGTAGGTCCTTGCTTTTCATCACTTTTGAATACTTCTTGCCAGTCCATTCTGACCTACAAATATTCTTTTGAGAAATCAGCTGGCAGTCTAATGGGAACTCCTTTGTAGGTAAATTCTTGCCTTTTTCTCGCTACTTTTAAGATTCTCTTCATTTTTAACCTTTGGCATTTTAATTATGACATGTCTTTGCACAGTCCTCTGTATCCTTGTTTGGGACTCACTGTGCTTCCTGGACTTGTATGTCTATTTTCTACTTTTCTTTCATTATTTTTTCAAATAAGTTTTCAATTTCTTGCTCTTTCTTTTCTCCTTCCAGCACCCCTATGATTCAAATGTTGGTATGTCTGAAGTAGTCCCAGAGGCTCCTTACCTCATCCTTGTTGGGTTTTATTAATTCTGTTTTTAATCTTGCTTTTTCAATTGAATGTTTTTTTCTTCCTCATGTTGCAAATCATTGATTAGACTCTTAGCTTCATCCACTTCATTGTTGGTTTCTTGTAAATTTTTCTTTATTTCACTTAGTGTAACCTTTATTTCTGCCGAAGTTGCTGAAGTACCTATTGAGTTCCTTGAGCATATTAATAACTAATGTTTAGATCTCTGCATCTGATTGATTGCTTATCTCCATTTTATTTAGTTATTTTTCTGGAGTTTTGTTCTTTTCTTTCATTTGGGTCATATTTCTTTGTCTTCTCATTTTGGCAGCCTCCCTGTGTTTGTTTCTATGTATCAGATAGAGCTGCTTTGACTCCCTGTTTTAGTAGTGTGGCCTAATGTAGGAAAGAGTACCCATGAGTTGGATGGGATGGAAACTTAGGTAATCGCTTAGGTATGGCAACCTGTTTGAACCAGTCTGATGGAGTCTCAGTTATGGTGCTGTGCTTTGTGGCTCTATGTCAGAGAGGGCTCGAAAAAGGACAATAGCAACTGCTTGGCCTCTGGAGTTTTGTCCAGGAGAAAGCTGTCCCCTGGCATTCACCCTGATGCCAGATACTTTAATTTCTCCCTGTATGACACTGGTGCCTTTCAAGCTGCCACTTCCATGCTGGAGCCCAGAGGGAATGAGTCTGTATAAGTCCTAAGTCCACTGAGGAATATTTAAGAGGAGAAGCCTGAGAATCCTGCATTTTCTTCCTCCACCTCAATCCACACACTAGTTTTGCAGCCAGAAGTTATGGGAATTTATCTTCCTGACACTGGAACCCTAGGCTGAGTGGTCAGGTGTGAGGTTGGGATCGCTCGATTCCAAGATATCATCCCACGTTTTATCTACCACATGTGGATATGGACCCACCCATTCCACGCCTCTGTGTCTCCACCTCTCCTACTAGTCTGAATGAATGTGGCTTCTTTGATTCCTTGGTTGTTGAACTTCCACACAGCCTGATTTTCTGACAGTTCTGGGTGATAAATGTTTTCTAGTTTAGTTGTAATTTTTGCTGTGGTTGTGTGAAGAGATGAGCTGTGTTTAGCTACACATCCATCCTGACTGAAAGTCTCCCTCCACATACATTGATATTAATTTAAAGCTCATTTAGTCTTGAGTTTCCTGGGTAGAATTGAAAGATTTATCCAATTTGTTAACAGAAGAATTTGCTAAATCAATTATTTTTCATTGTTAATAAGCCAATGTGAAAGAAATATCTAGTCATCCAAATA